TTTAAAAAATAATTTTTAATTATTAAATTTTTCAAAAATAAAAGTTTGCTATTTTAATTTGTTTTAATTACGAATTTTTATTGTAATAAATTGCAATTTAAAAAAAAAATAAAGTTCTTAATTATTGTGATTTTTGAAAATGTGAGTTTGCGATTTTTATTGTAATTTATTAAGAATTAAACAATTTTTAATTGTTGTAATATTAAGAGAAACAGAATCATTTAATTCTTGTATATTTTAGTGTTGGAATTTTTAATTTTTTTTTTTTTTTGTAATTTTTAAACAACATAAATTTTTTAATTGTTATAATTTACGAAAATAAAAATTTGCAATTGCTTTAATATTATTGTGATCATTCTGATATTGTATAATTAAAAAATAATAATAAAGTAAAAATGTATATATAATATACATTAAAATAATTTAAAAATTACAATTTTATAAGAATTTCTTAGCCGAATTTTTAATTATTAAAGGCCTTACAAATAACATATCAAAGTACCTAATTAATTTAATTACATAAATTAAATTTTTATCGAATTTTTGATAAATTAAAGTGAAAATTTTCTGAATTTCCATTGAAATTTTCTTTTTCTTTTAATAATTTTAAAATGCGTATAAAAGTATTTAAATTCCGAATCAAGTCGATTCAAAATGCTTTTGAAATCCTATTAATAGAAGGAAACGGATGTAAATACTTTAATGGTTACTGTATTTACTAATTAAAGATCATTAATTGCAGCATTTGCGTTTAATCTTGCGATGTTGCACTTATTGGTGATTCATCTCAGCCTAACAAGATGAACAAAGGTTAATCTAATAATGGTAAACTTATAATTTAAACAATTGTTAATAATATAGTGTAAAATGAGTTTATTTCGTAAATTTCCTATACTTTTTAATATTAAAATATTTATAAATTTAATTTAAAAATATATAAATTATACTGTTATATAATTTAACTAGTATTTAAATGATAATTCTTGAAATAAAGGATGAAGAAGATGCTTAGAGACGGGTCGGGATGCGGATGTTTCGCTCCATTTAAACACGATATTTCTGTTAATATATTTCTAACAATTGAATTAACTATAATTTTTATAGTTTTTAATTAAAATAGTTATAATTTTAAGATAATTTTTAGTGGATTTTGATGAGAGAATCCCTTCAAAACTTTTTGAAGATGAGCTTTAATACGGTTCGGATAAAGCTAAAAAATATAATTAAAAACCTTTGAAAAATCAAAAAATAATTTTAACAAGAGTTAAAAATTAAATTTAACTTATATTTTATAATCATAATTTTGTATATAATCATTTAAAACATTTTTATCATCGATTAAACATCATCGAAAACAAAGTAGAGTTTATTAATTACGATGAAATTTTTAACACTAANTTGAAGATTTTATAATGAAAACTTCATTAATATTTTTGATTTAAATATTAAAATTTGAAGCGGAATTAAGAGCTTCAACTCTTATCAAATCATCTTTCGATAATCAACTGATCAATTTTATCAAAAATACTCTTCTTTTGAATAAGAATTTCGTTCAGAAGCACGTTTAATGAATATAAATACTTTTAATTGAATACTTATAAGTATAAATCTTCATCGCACACACAAGTATATTCTTAGAAAACGTATACAAATGCTTGTTTACCAATTGTAAATGGAGTTTTCCCTTAAGGACCTTAATTAGCAATCTATTGCAGCATTATTAATTAGTCAATTAGTGATAAAATAGAACAGTCCTACACCATTCTAGCACGTTACTATGGTATTAAATCTGTTCCCCTTTTACTCCTATAGGAGTTATAAATAAATGTCATTACCTCTTTTTCCTTTTTCTACAACCATATCCATGTGATTTAACAATCTATACACCTATATTACTGTAGCAGTATGTGTATAATAAATGTTAAGACGGTAGATAATGCCCCTTTATTATTGTTATAGCAGTATTGTTGCTTCTAGAGTATTAAACAGGCAAACAATTTGAGTACAGAAGTGAATATTCTTGAATATTTTTTTCTACACGAAGTAGTTCATTCACGAAAAAGGTTTTCACCTTCACACCAAGCACGTTTTTTGAGCTACTTCACAATTGTATAATATCATTTTTCTTTCCATTTTACTTCACGTAAGAAGACCTTCATTAATGTGACGTCTCACCAACATTCATGTACAGTAGAGCAGTCAGAAAGCTATTTATTTTAATTGTAGTAAAAAGTGACATTTCTTCGCGGTTATTTTTCACGTGAGGACATAAGAGAGAGAGAGAGAGAGAGAACGAAAGAGAGAAGAAACATGCCGATAGTGTAGTGTAAGAATGATAAGAAAGAAGAGAAAAAACGTAGCCTAGTAGAACCCAGTTCTTAGAAAATCTGGCGCCAGTCTATCATTTCTCTTCACTGTTTTCCATTCTTATATGTGTATGTATATACCAGAATGTAGTGAAAGAGGGGTAACATCATTAACGAACAATTCTCAACCCCTAGAAGTTGAATATAAATATAAAAACATGAAGAATCACTCGAGTTTCTATGGTAGTTCAGGTAGGTTTTAATATAGAATGATGCTGCTCATGTACATAAATCATGCCAAAATTTTAATTTTTATTTTTATATATATTTCTAGATATAAATGATTAAAATTACTCAAAAAATTCTTTGATTTTGAACGACTAAATACTATATAACTCGAATTTTCTTTATTTTTTACATGCTTTTTACGTGTATTTATATTAAAAAGTAGTAAGAGAGTAGTAAAATTACTAAATAAACAGTTCAGAAATTGAGTTTAGGTTAAAGAATTACACGAGTTCAATATAAAACGATGCTCCTTCTTCGGATAAACATGCCAAAAAATTGTTAATTTATATCTTTATGTACGAATCTAGCTGTAAATAATAAAAATTACTTTAAAAAAAAAACAAGAAAATTCTTTGGCTTTTATGCTTGTTGGCTATAGTGACTCTATGACCTTTGTGGCTCCATTTTGGCCTAATTGCGTAGAGAACTTTAAAAAAAATACCTCAAATGACTGGCTAAAAATAGTTTAAGAAATGCTATTTTCTATAAATTTCTTTTTAAAAAAATAAAATAATTTTAAAACTGTAAAAAGAAGAAAGATGATTCATAAAATAAAATATATTTAATTCTTTCCTATAAAAGGAATTAATAAAATTACATATTTTTATATACATATATTTTTATTAAAAGAAGAGGAAGAGGAAGAGAGGAAGGAAAAAAAGAGGATAAAATATATAAAAATTTAAAACAATATAGTAGTCATATCTCCATAAAAAGAAATAAATTACTTACAAGAAAACATGTAATTCAAAGCTAAAAATAGTAATAAAATTTCGTTATCTGCTGTATAAAAACTTACAACGTTCATTCCAGACTGATATAAAACTGTTTTTTCTTCTTTCTTTCTTTTTGCAATGATAGCATAAAAGTACGAAGACATCAATAATGCGGACGTATAGTGTGTGTATATACAGTAAATCCTCGACAACTCCAACCCTCTTTAACTCTACCATTTTCTATTATTCAAAATTATACTTTTAACTATTAAAATTCTGAATTTATAAACTATATTCTAAACATTTAAAGCTATGCTTTATGTGTTATATAAACGCAATTAAAATTGGGGGAGGCTGTTAGTAACTACTATACAATTCCATTTTGTAGGCTAATTTATTATATTATATGCTTAATTTTTATTGTAGAAGTGTTCAGATGATCATTCTGAGTTTATAAACTATATATTTTTTTTTAAATTTCGAACTATGTTAAAGGTTATTTAGTGTGGGAAAGTGTGGGAAAAGTTGCATCTTATGCAATCATGTAGCGAGCTTTTGTAGCTTGGTTTACGCGATATTTATCATGTTTTTGGCTTAAAATAGCCGTAAATCTTCTCATAGAAGTGTTTATATTATCATAAAGTGATGCTATAATGTGATTTATTAATTATAGATGTGATGCTTCATCTACGATTGCACCTTATTAATCTTATAATGAATTTTTGTACTTACTTTATGCAATATTTATCATGTTTTTGGCTTAAAATAGCCGTAAATATTCTCTTAGAAGCGTTTATATTTATTATTGAGGCTATGATATCTTATTAATTATAACTGCAGTTCTTATGGTAGATGTGATGCTTAATCTATAATACTTAAGATGGGAACAAATGGATTAGTGATATGTATTTTCTACTATAAATTAATTTCAGCATAATTATCATACATTTATAAGCATAACTGAATAGGGGACTTATATAGTGATGTGCTGAAAATTATGCACTTATAACGAAAGTCGCTTTAAATATTCAATTAAAAGTATAATTTTTTTAATGTTAAATTTTAAGCAGTAACTCTATCCTTTATAATAGAGTTAAAGCAAAGTTCCTCAGTGATGAGAACTCAACACATAAACGCCACAACATAAGATATGACTGCTGCTAAATTAGAAAAGTTCCCTATAGGCACACATCCCCCATATAGTAAATAGAAGCTAGGCCAGTTACATCCCCTACGGGATAACCTAATTACATTCCAGTAAAGAGACACGTAACCTTAACCCCCTACAAAGAATGCAATCTCTAAACATCCGTATAGAGAAACCACTAGTTTAAACTATACAAATCAGCATAATCCACTCACCCCTTTCTAACTTCGAACGTCTACACCAATTTAAAAAAATGGAGGGGTCCAAATTTAATATAGTAGAAAGCGTAATTTATGCATCAAAGAACTGATGTAATGGGATTGTTTGTGTGTAGTTCTAACCCCTTTTTTCGAATTTTCATCAGGAGATTGTCATCCCTGTTGCACTTTATATACTGTAGTTACCTTGTTGTAATGACTTCTTTCAGATACTCAACTTAGTTGGTCGTTTAGTCTCTCTCATCTTTTGTTCTGCATCTTCTTAGCTTCTTTTTCATCTCATTTAGGACAATAATTTGTGACAATGATGACGTTTCTACTTTACCATCTTCTATTGTGTCTTTCAATGTATAACCGCTGTTATACTTCATTGTTGCTGATTTTGCAGCAACAATAAGACACCTTGCACTACATTGAGTTACACAATAACTGCACATATTACTTTCTAACGCTCCAATTGTCTTCTCTCTCTCTCTCTCTCTCTCTATTGCTCTTACTCTTCCTCTTCCACTCTTTTTACATCTTGACTTTTCTTTAAATTTTTGGCTCGCATCCCTCTTCGGTTTTCTTGGTGTAATTTACGAATTGTTTTGAAGTTGTTGAGAAAGTCAACGTTTGATTCATATATTTTTTCTCTTTTTTTAAAAAAATAATAACTTTTGTTTTGTTAGTTTTAGAATAAGATTCGATTTTTCCATTTTCTTCTAAAAATAGTTTAAAACTTTTAAAAATGATAATAATAATAATAATTGTAATTTTTCTTTATTCTTTATTCTAATTTACTACTAAAGTATATTTTATGTTATAAATTCTAAATATTTTCATTCCTTATTAGCGTAAAGGGATGCGGAAGATGTTGATGCTTTATCATCAGCATCTTCCGCATCCCAATTTTATTTATTTTTTTAAGATTTAATTTAATTATTTTTACTAAATTATAAACTTTTAAGCTTTAATTATATAAATATATATATATAAATACAATTTAAAAATTAAATTTTATAAATTACCTCTAGCTGAAACCCCAACCTTTCTACTGATTCAAATTCCTTCTTTAATACTGAATGTTTCTGGAGTTTTCGATCTATCGGTTTGTAAACTGTAATGTAGAGGAAATTTTTAAATTATAAAATCATTTATATTGATAAAAAAATATTCTTTTATACTAGAAAATTTATGTGAATTGTTACTTCGCAACTGATAGATCGCGACTCCAGTAAGATGCATAATTTAATCAAAGAATATGTACAGATACTTTAAAGATTCTTATAGAAAGATTATTTTATATATCTACACGTATTCTCTTGTATAATTTTAATAATTTAACGTAGAAAAAAACCGATAAAATCCTTAAATTTGTGCAAAAAATACTCACTTCTACAGTTAAGAGGAAGAATTTTGCTAGAATTTTGCTTCTCAATTGGTAGATCGCGAACTCTAAAACTTTTCAAAGAATCTTTTAAATATCTACAAACATCCTGCCACATAAATTTAATAATTTAACATAGAAAAACTAATAAATTGTTTTTAAAAAAATCCTTAAGTTCCTACAAAGAGTATTCAGTTCTACAAGTAATTAAGAGGAACAGAATATAATTTAAAAAAGGGGGAAAAAATTCAATTTAAACTTTAGTCTATACTTTATGCACCTTTCCATTTTGACAATTAAAACTTACGAAGCAAATTGATTGCACGTTAGAAGAAGTTTTAAAAAAAAGGAGTCAGAGAAGAAGCAAAGAAAAGATATAAAAAAGAACATTTGTCCGTCACACTTTTCTGATTGCTTGGATCATCTTGATAAGAAAATCTTCTACAGAACCATTTTAAAATAATTCTTTTTAGATATTTCTTCAATTTGACAATACAATTCTCATTATCTCTTTACGAAATTCTCACCAGAAAAATCTTTACGCTGTCTGCTTACAAATTTTTTTTCTTCTTCTTCCTTCTTCTTCTTCTTTCTTCTTCTATTTTCAACTTTTTTAAATTAAAAAAGATTAGATATAAGAGCTAAAAAAACAAATTATTGATGAGAAGAAACGATAAATGTAAAGTTGGTTTCAATCGTAAAACATGGCAATTAGTATAAAGGAGAAAAAAATGTATATATTTATTTGTTTTTTTATTTTATTTTTCTTCTCTCTTTGCTTCAAAGTTACGCTTGGATGAAAGAACTACGATCAACAAATCGAGACATATTCCAAATATTTACCATTAAATGATTTATGGAAAACTTCATTAAAAAACATCGTATGTTAATATGAGTTGAGAAGGATGAAGTATCGCTTTCGCATTGTAATTCTATTCCCTTATTGAATTACTATTATTATTACTTACATTTTTTTCTCTTTTTTATGTTTTCTTGTTCTAATTTCTCTTCTTACTCTTCCTGTTCTACCTGCTCTTTTTTGATTTTTCTGCTCCACTTGCTCTTCCGGCTCTTCCTGTTTCCTTCGCTCTTTCCTGTTCTTCCTATTTCTTTTGCTTTTTGCTCCTCTTGCTCTTCCGGCTCTTCTTGCCCCCTCTTACTCTTCATGATCCTCTTGCTCTTCCGACTCCTCTCGTACTTTATATTCCTCTTGCTGTTCCTGCTCTTCCTGCTTCTCTTATTCCTCTTGCTTTTCTTAATTTTTATTCATCAATGTTTTTTTGTATTTTCTAATTTTAATTCTTTATTTTTACTATTTTATAAAATTTAAATATATTAAAAAATTCTATCATAGAGTTTTCTTTAATTTTAATATATTTTTAAATAATATATCACGTTTACTNATCATTCTAACAATTAAAAAATTTATTTTTTTTAAACGAAAACACTTTAAAAAAGAAGCAGCATTAGCATCCCAGACGTCTCTTCCTTATCCTTTCAGCATCCCTTAACAAAAGGAAAGAAAAAAAATATAAATATAATTTTTAAGACCACTTTTGCATCTTAATTCCTTAAGAAAAATTCAAGATATAACTTTAAATGGAAAGAAAAAAGACATAAATAGCGTATAAATTTATAATTTAAAAATTCTTGAAAGAATTTATTACTAAAACATAAATGGTCGAGTGCGAAATATCCTTCTCTCAGCTCTTGTATTAAAGATAAACATGACATTAATACTCTAGTGTAGAACGAATTCACATCAGAACAAGATATAACCCTATGTCGTCTCGTAAAGTCAGACAATAAAACCATTGCTTACGATTAAAACATTTGTAATTAGCGTTTTACAACATTTACCCAATTAACTTGGATTGTTGTCTCACTCACAAGTAAAATGCATCTCCTCTTGCTTCTATCGATTTATCTTACTCTCTCTCACTCTCTCTAGCTTTAATTCTCTATCTGTTAAAGGTGTAATCTTCACGCCCAGTTGTATTTGAGTTTCAATTTTGGATTAACGACGTATAACCAACCGGTTAGCATCCTAAAATAGAAAATAATAACTTTAATACTCGACTAGGATACTAATAAACGCTTTAATTAAGTTAAGTTGGGTCAAGGTCGAATGTTATTTATTCGACTATTTCAAATTCACTTTAATTGTTCTTTTAACACATTTTTAATCATTTGTTATATGAAAAATTATTGTTTAGCTAATAATGCATTTTAAAATGCTTTTCGAGACAATTTTCTCACGTATTTATTTAATAATTGTTGAAATATCCTTAAATGTATCACTCTTTTGACTAATTTTTACTATAAAAACACAAACAGACTTTAAAAAAAGCATTATATCCACGCTACAGTTCAATATAACCCCCGAAACAAAAAAGAAAAACCTCAAAAATCTGTTCTTACCCGAATCTTTTCTCCATCGTTCCATCCATTCTCTTCCAAAGAACCTCTTAAAACTTATAGAACCTTTTATGGCCTACTCTTATGGTAACTTTTATAGAAATTTCTACCGAACTACCGTAACAAATTCATTTTAAACTCTATATTTCTAACGTTAATTTATACTTTTAACAAGTTACCATTCGATTCTGGAACAAATTAAACTCGAGCATCTTCCAATTCATACATAAATTGAAGCGATTTAAATAGATTTAAACCTTAAATTTCTTAGATTAATTTGTATAATTTAATAATTTTTGACTCAACTTAGTCGAAAGTTTATGAAAATTAAGCAGTTAAAGGAGATCGAATAACGGAAAGAGCAAAGGATGCGGAGCAAAGGATGGAGACAAAAGAGAGAAAAACAACGTTTGAATAGAAGTAAGAATACAATAGAAAAGTATTTTTAAACATATTCTTTGACCAGTTTAGAGTTGCTTCAATTAGCTAAGGGTTGTATAGTGGTGTATCACGTGCTCTCAGCAGGGAGAATTCGATCGTTAGGTAATCCTAATTACAACTATCTCGCATCAAATCCTAACAGGCCACCCACATGTGCTTAAGAAGACGGAATGGCGTACATCTGCAACAGGCATGTCACATGTTAGTAAAAGACACTGTTGCATATAGGGAATTGAAACAAGATTAAAAGCATCTTTTCTATGTCAGCATAAAAGTGCTGGTTTCATTTGTAGTCAAAGATTCTTGCTGACAGAGTTGGCTGCTTCATTCGATAGTAGATTTACAAGGAAGTGTTTCGAGTGGATGTTAAGTGTTCACTAGAACGTAGATTTGTGAATGCTGAGAATGCAAGAAATTAGTCATTCATTGCTTAATTTCAATCGGAAGAGGGACATCAAAGATTCTCTTTTGTATTCTTAAGCTTCTTCTATAAATCAAAAGTCAAAGGGATGAATATACTTAAATTATTTTCGAGTTTTTTTAACGTTTAAACGCGCTTCGAGAAAGCATCTTAATTAAATTAATACGTTAAAAATCACTTAAAAATTTAAAAAAGCGCTTATTCTTTAAGATAAATGATTTAAAATACGCTTTAAAAGATTAATTTTAGAAGCAAAATGCTCGTATAGATGATGCTGGAAAATGAGGAAAAATCGTATAAAGGCGAATAAATGAGAAAAAGATCACATAAAAGATACTGTAAAATTAAGAAAAATAAAATAAAGGATGCTAAAAATGAGGAAAAAATCATATAAAGCATACTGCAAAATAATGAAAAAATCTTATAAAGATAGCTGAAAAATGAGGAAAAGCATATAAAGGATGCTGAAAGGATGAGGAAAAGAATATCGAAATATGCTGGAAAGACGAAGAAAAATCTTGTATACAGAATGGTGGAAAGAAGAAAAGCGAAACAGATATTTTATGTTTTATATATATAAGAAAAAAATGGAGAATAGAAGACACTTACTACTACTACTACAACTCTAGGAAAAAAAAGGAAACAAATTTTATTCGGGTTGCAACCACTTGTGGATCGAATATAAGGAAGAAGACCCGCAGCAATGTAGGAACCCGCTCACTAAAGTAGTTGTTTATCGGACAAAACGTGACTGACAACGCAGTTTGTTACTCCAGGACGTACAGACAAGTAGTAAGAGACTTGGATCGTGGATTGGTACTTGTCCACGAGAACCCAATCACTTGAGTCACGTCGTCGTGTCCTCCAGCTTTCAACCTATCCACCTGCTCGCTACCGCCAACTGTTGACTCAGCAAGGTTTTTAATAACCTCGGGCTTGGGCGCTTCTCCCACCTAACTGTGCCATCACCTCATATACAGAGGATTTAGTGCCTGGTCCAGGCATTCGAGCAGTAAATGTGCTGTTTCATGACAGACAAAAATTGGGATGTTTAATCTGAGTTCTTCCCCCATTTTTTCCTGTATTAAATCTTGATATATTTCCAGATGAAATGATTGTAAGAAGCTGAAAAAATTGTAATATATTTTATTTTATTTTTTCCCTCTTTTTCTATGTTTAATTATTATTTTTTTCGCCGGATATTGTTCGATTTTTTTACTATTTTTTTAAAAAAATAGCTTCGTTAGAATCGGAGATTTATGTAGATAAACTTCATCCTCAGCATCTTTAAGTTAAAATTTAAATGAAACTTTGTAAATATCATACAATATGGCCCTTTAAAAAGGGGTAATCAGCGCTCTTATAATTATTTTACGGTTATAATTCTATAATTCTTCTGTTTTTAGTTTGAAATTGCTCTTGGATCCATGTAAACTCAATAAATTTATAACTATTTTACTGTTATAACTGTTTAGAGTTATAAAATATTGTGTAACATGGCACCGAGGGGTTGTAGTTATAGGTTTTCTGACCTAATCGAGTGATAGAATCGATGAAATTAATGTTTAATGATGACCCTAATACACAGAGACGTGGTATTGTTCAGCATTTTTAATTAAAATGTATGATAAATCTATGGTAAATGAATGGTAAAACTCGTATAATGAATGACATTGAGATGGTGACGATGCCTCTGATGATGCTGATGTTAATGATGCTGCTCTTGATGATACTAGTTTTGTATATCAAGTATTATCGGTAAAATAATAGCAAATACATATATATAAATAAATACTAAAAATTTTAAAAATGAATTAAAATTAAGAAAATGGATCAAAATCAAGTGAAAAATGTTATAAATCATTAAATAAAAACGAGGGGAAATCTGGTTTTATTTTTTAAAAAAAATAGCAAAACAAAAAAATCATCAAAGAAAAATCCAAAAATTATTATATTTTAGACGGAGCACATATTTAAAAATGAATTTGAAGAGAATTTCGGGCGGAGCCAGCCTTACTCTACCGCAGCAACAAAGCGTGTAATTTGTAGAAGTTTTGGATAGAATTTAAAAGTTATTTAGAAAGGGGGGCATAAGAAAAAGAGGAGGGGGGACGAAGAAGGCGTCTTTGGGGATCTTTAGACGGAGAACAAAATGCATGTGACAGGTAGAGTTTGATGAAGTGCGTACGACACAATGAACGTCCAGTCAGAGTGGGGTGATGCGCTCTTCGTTGCCACTGTCAAAGCCAGCAACGGGGGGTGGAGACCGTGCACTGGGAACACCAGCACGTGCGACGCATGCACCGGGCACTGATTGATTAAGGTTTGCATGGAAATATTTTTCAAACCGACCAGTTAAAAAGAAGTTTTTAAAACCGTTTCTAACGTTCTAAACTCGGCGGGAGATGTAGCACTAGGGACTTGTAGCCGTCTCCTGTGGTGTCCTACATGTCTCTGTTTGCCATCTGTCAACTTGAATTGGACCGTCCGACGTCCTTTCTGCTACTGATGTCTTTTCTGCTGCGGTTTTGCTCCGCCACAACCTTGCTCTTTTCTCTTCTTCTTCCGTGTCTCTCTCGGTCACTTGGGATGCTCTGTACTCGCTCCAGCTTTATCTACTCTGTTCGCGGGGGAAGGGGGGACGCGCTGACCCCGATGACGACCGGTCACCCACGTAAAACCGTTTATCACGTGATCTAAGCTGGTCCGTGTCACGTGACTAAATCCTCACCCTGCCTTATGATCGAGAAAAATCCAATTTATTCGATATTATCGAGAAGATATCGATCGTTCTGCTAAAGCAACAAATGGATACATACAAAAGCTAAAAAAGTAAATTATTTCTGCTCTATTTTTATGTTTTATTTTGCTTCTACATCAATATAAT